ATTATTATAAAGAAATGATACATCAGATTTATTTATCATTATCAGTATAATAAAATATATCAGTTGATAATACATTATAATCACTTTAGAAATTCAAAGAATATCTTACCTTGAAATGTAACTTTACCGTTAAATAAAATATAAGTAAATGAAAACTAAAACTATTAATCTCGCAATATGGTTCTTTATTTTAGATAAGAGCAAAACTGATTTTTGTTAAATTAAAACATTTAATCAGATAGGAAATACGTCATTCCATTAGAAAATACATCTGTAGTTAGTTTTCTTTCAGGAAACACAAAGTTAACATTTTTTTTCAGTTAATAATATCATGCACATAATTAAATTTTAACGAAGATTACTTGTATTTTTTTTATCGAAAAGTATTCACTTCTACGGCATCTCTTATTTAAAAATTCAGGATTATTTAACAGATAAAAACGACTAGTCATAATGCAAAAAAAACCGAATAATCCTTCTTTCATTCGGATTCATACTATGAGAATAGCAAAACAATTTATTTATCTTCCTGTAAGTGAAAGGGAAACAACAAGATTTTCTGTTATGTGTGATTTTATTAAAGTCAGGACTCGTAGTCGCAACTAAACATGGATATGATACATTCTTTTATTACACTGAATATATTCTCAAAGTTTAGTATTCTCTCTCTCTCTCTCTCTCTCGTGTAGATAAGAGTCTAACAAAAATAAATTGTTTGCTTGCTTGTATGTATGCACTCCACTGATTGGTCCAAGAATAATCTGAATAAAAAAAACAAAAGAATAAAATAGTTTGTTTTTTTTCCTTCAAAATTGAGTTTGATGAAAAAATCGCAATATTAATTTCTTCATCTTCTGTCGAATTCTGCACAAATGATAAGATAAGAAAAGATTTTGTATTTGATGAAAGTCCAATGGGAATGAATTCTATCACTATAGATGCAGTTCATGCTAATTACACTTCATTAAATAATCATCGCATGAATTCTGTTTCGATCGAAATTTGTAGATCATTTATTAAAGTTTCTTCTATTCTCAAAACATACAAAAATAATCAATGATGAGTATTATTCTTATTTAAACATCCTCAATAAATATCAATGAATTTCTCACGTTCAATAATTAAAATACTCAATTGGTTCTGGAATATATTTATTAGAATAATATTCAAAAAAACAATTTGATAAATGGTAAATTGTGAAGTTATTTTCACGCCTCAAACGCACAGATAATAAAAAGAAGCGATAATTCTATATTTTAAAGTTACGCAATCTTTGTCTAGTTTATCATTGAATTAAACTATAGAAAATGTTCTTGAATAAATACCTTATCAAACGATGGAGGGTTCATTTAAGTTTCCATTTGGATTTAATGGATCAGTTTCAATAGCTGAATTAACTTCATCTCCGATATCAATTTTTATCTAAAATTAACAAATATGATCAGCAAAGTTTCACTATAGTTCATATATGTGTTATATCGCAAGAAAATGCGATTCAAGTGAATAACATTGTCCAAAAAAACTGTTTACAAAAAAAGAAACAAACTTGATGTTAATAGATTAGTGTTATCTCATATTGCTTAAAAACCTTTCATTTTTTTAGCTCAATCTAAATCTAAATATAATCTATTCATATAATTCTACTTACTTGGTAATGAACGTGAGTGGACCGATTTTTTCCACGGCCAGTTTCTGTAGTATGAGAATAGAGACCCCACTTTGTAGGTATTGGTAATTTTGTCGAGTATTTCAATGATTCTGCATTAACTGCATTGCGCATACGTTTCAAGCGTGCTTTAAATACATAGGCGCCAATAGAAATACTAACCACAATTGTAACAGCTCCGATAGAAAGTAATCGTATAGGTACTACTGGATTTTCATCATACATCGATCTCAAACCAAAAAGAAGTAGAGAGAATCCAATTCCAAAGCCTAACACAAAAATACACAGAGCAAGTTTTCCACACAAAGTCTCTCTGCGTGCTTCATTGATACTGTCTATTGATTGAATGAATTCATTTGGATCGATGATTCCTATCAATTGTGGAGAAAATTCTGAATCAAACTGTGCACTCTTACAACAACCTATAAAATAAAGACAGAGATGTATATTTTATGTCATAGATGAAATAGAAAATGTAAATTTACTTTTAGTTTCGTTTATGGTAACGGTTTTCTGAGGAACAGTTGATTCAAACATTTTTGTTATCTAGAATATAAATAAAACAACATAAATCTAACATATTCAGAATCTTTTCATTAAAATTTGTGATGAAACAAACATTAGGTAGAGTCAAATCGTTCGATATAGATTTGAATTCAAAATTTTCGAATTACTTGATTACTATCAGTTGATTCTAATATTAACGATTAGAAAATGAATTACACGATTTCAATAATGTGAGTAAAGATAATCTCATAAATGAGATCTACACCTGGAGAATTTCTTTGTATGTATTAATATTAGATAAAAATGATGATATATTTAATAGTTAAATCTATTTCTAAGATCAGTGACGTATATAAATTTTCGAAATATCCTTGAATTGAAGATTCGAACATATCATTTTACGAATAACAAGATGGTAGAATTCTATTCTCGAAGTAGTAGGAATATATACTGAAAAGTGATAACAATTTAAACTTTTTTCTCTATATTTACTTTGTTACAGATTATATCGCTAACTTTTCTACTAAATTACACTCATAAATTAGAGCTCGATGATCGTGTTTATGATAAATATCATTCTTCTTGTTCGTATATCTATAAAAAAAAAATTCGGATACTATACTTGCTAGTTTTACCTCAATATTTTTTCTCTTGATTATATAAGTAAATATAAATTAATGCAATAATTATGAAATATTCTTATTTATATATTTATCATTATCTTGAGTATTATACGCACAATTAATATAATAGACAGAAGAAATATTGCATGCTTGAATGATTACACTATTTAATGATCGATAAGCACGTGTTCCTTTTACTTGCTACTATTTCATTTTTATTCTGTATCGATAATTTAAAAAAATTTTAACATAAACCATCATTCTGATTTAGTTCCAATAGTTTTATCGTTTACCTGTAAATAAAACAATGTAATAGAAAGGAGTAATCGCCATTAAAATATGGTAGATGTTTTCGCTTGGAGAATAAGTAAAATAGACATCAAAAATGTTTTGATAATTCACCGACCTATACGCATAAGGGAATATTTGTTTTGTTTATATTATGATTGAAGATAGTTCGACAGTTATTGGATTATAAGCTTTATTTTTCTATATCTTTATAATTTTATATCAACAGATTGTTTTATAAATGACATCGTGATAAAAACTTTGCAGATTTCTACTTTGCTTTGTCCGTAATAATTTTTATTTAATTATAAAATTAACGAATCGGAATAGAATTAGTCTAATCGAAAAGAGTAACTATAGAAAAGTAAATTTTACAATCAAATGCACACGATATTTTTGGAATGCGTACAATGATTGAAAATCTTAGTTGAAGTTAATAATGATAAATGAGAGTGACTTTTTTTTATAACAATTGATCCTGACGAATATATGAAAAGATATTAACTTATAACATCTTTTTTCTTGTATGTCATTAATCTTTATTAGAATCTTGTTGAATCAAGAGAAATAACTTAAATTTCTCTAGTCAATGCACTTCTAATAGATAATCTTGTTTAGAGTTAATTTATTAAGAAAAAGAATATTTCTGATATCAATAAAAACTGAAGATTGTATGTCATATACTACCTATGTTTACATTGACGACTGATTTTGAATGCCTTGTATATTTTTTATTTTGTATCGTATAGTATTTTAAAAATCCTTCTTTGAAAAGGTTATTCGTCGGATTTCATATTTTCTATACAGAATATTCGTGAACTTGAAGTCTTCGCCACGGTTTAAGATAAATACAATAGAATTTATATTAGTGGTGTATATTATCAAGTTTTTCGAAAGACTACGGTTGACACAATATTTACATAAAGAAAAAAAATACGAATGAGTTGTTTTTTTGTAAAAATACTATAAATCAAACTAAAAAAAACATTAGATTCTGGAATAAAATAGAGACTAGTACAATAAATTTGTCAATAATTATGTATTTCATACGCTCGATGGTGTGGGTGCAGATTCATCTTATATATACTCACACGCATCCATACGCTCAACCAGAGTACCTTTAGCATCTAATGTATCTGTAGTTTTTGCATCTAATATCAAAATACTCTCACAATACGAAATCAATATGTAATAGTTTTGGCTAGATATTATAATCAATCAAATACTTATGAGTTATCCTGGTAAGTCTTTCGAAATATCATTTCTTTGAATTGCATAATTTGTTTTTCAATTATATTACTGAATAGGGGTAGGACAGTTCATAGTTCCAAGTTCGGATGAACTGGTCAAAAGAACTACCAGTTCAGTTCTTCTGAAAGGAACTGAACTGAACCAACAGTTCTTTGAATAGAACTGAACTCTACCAAACAGTTCTTTGAAAGGAACTGAACTGTATCAACAGTTCTTTCAGAAGAACTGGTCTATTTCAACAGTTCTTTTAAAAGAACTGTTAATACAGTTCCTAAGAACGGAACTAATATGGAACTGTCCTACCCCTATTACTGAACATATTTTTCCAACTATAAAATGACTGTCGATTCTTCAAATAACTACATTTTTTTTAAAATGTACTTTGAATATAATTGTTTAACGAGTATACCTCGATAGATTTTCCGTCGTTGAGCATATACTATAGAATTCCACAACTATGATAAAGTAAGACCAGATAGCTTTGATCATATATAATAATTTCAAATCATTCAAGTATATTTGAAAATTTTTGGTAGAGGAAAATTCTCGAAGATATATTGACACAAAAGCTGATAAAAAGTCACTTCAGTAGTGCCATCATGCTTGATAAATTTAAGAACAAGTTTCAAATTCAAATCATTGAAAAATATGATAAAATACACGCAATGCGAAAGATCATTTTTTAGCGAACCTTTCTATATTCTGTCAATTGACTTGAACAGAAAACAAAAAAATAATACTGATTAATATACACACCTGTATATATAGATATCGCTATGATAAAGTGTGATTACATTATTCGTATTCTCTTTTTACCACATACTCTTATTTCGAAATAATGAGCAAATCGATGATAGATTTTTGTAATATTCACAACTCCACATTCACTTATATATTTTAAGTTTTCAACTAGGATCCTGGCCAAATCCATGGTATATACTGAGCGTCGATTAGAAAAAAAATAGTGAAAGTAAAAACAAAGTAGATGGAAAGAAAAATAAATGCTGTCCATCGGCATGCCATATGACAGTTACAATAGTTATTATTCGATAGACATGGACATGAACAACCAAACATACCAATACCAAACAGAAAACCTACCAAACCACCACCAAAATGAGCTGAATGTCCCACATTAATGTCGAGAATAGTCGTAACAGACGTGATGATGATTATAGGAAATGCAACAAATAGGATTAATTGCATCACTATTAAAAGTCGATGATCGATATTTGTTTTCATTGCATTAAGACGTTCTACGGTGAAAAATAGTAACAGGCCATATATCGCACCGGAAGCTCCAATACCACCTAAAAATTAAAATCAATTGTACATTTAAAAAGATAGTATTGACTAGCACTCTATTTACTTTTTCGACTATCTTCCAACATAAGACATAAAATACCACCCATATTTGAAAGCCAGTAGACAATAACTATTCGAAATGAACCATATTTACGTTCGAGTAAAATACCCAACAGTAGTTGTTTTGACAGATTAATTAGTAAGTGTAACCAATGAGCATGAATTAGATTAACAGTAACCATTCTCCATAACTGATGTGGATATAGAAAAGAGAAGCACTTGTGTTTGAGTTCGTCACCGTAATAACATGTGATATTTTGTATCGCTGATGTGCAATTGACGATACGCATACGAATATCGTAAGGTGTCGGTCGCATACATGGTATATAATACATCCAAAGATCATTTAATGAATCTTTAAAATCTTGATCTCTCCATTGAATGTTGATGTATGTTGTCAAATGAACGGAAATATGTATGATAGACATAATGATAATAAACACTGGGTAATAATGCTTTTCATTTGGTAGAACATCAAGAGTAAAGAATCGTCGAAATCTCAAACAGACAGTATTTTGTTTAGTAGATACTGGACTCTGTACTTGTATTGTCAATGGTTCTTCCATTTCCAACTGAACATTGTCGGTAGTATGCATCATTCAAATGAGAATAGTCTGTAATCCTCTTTTTTCTATGACTTCAAATAAGAAATGTAAAAGTATGTTTGACGTGGGTTAGTCTGCGAGAAATATTTATAGAAATAGAAGATGCGTCTTCTTTCTTTTCTCTAACTGATAAAACGGAAGAGAGTTGCCGGAAGGTTTCTTTGTTTTTTCATTCATTTCCAACTGAATGTTGTCGGTAGTATGCATCATTTAAAATAGAATGGTCTGTAAGCTTTTCTTTTTCTATGATTTTGAAAAAGAAACGTAAAAGTATGTCTGAAGTAGGTTTCTGTGTGAGAGATAAATATGGAAATAGACGATTCGCATTCTTTTTTTTCTTTTCTATAACTGATAGAGTGGGAGAGTGTTGCCGGATGCTTGTTATTTTTTCTTCCGTTCTATAATAAAAAGTATATTTACATCAATCCATGAGTACGTCTGTCTACTTGAAAGCGCATGAAGAATAATAAAAAAAAATATTCACAATCCGTACGCTTACATAGTCACACCCTCAATAATTTCAGATCGTTTTACTAAAGCCTATTTTATTCTCAAAACATACAAAAGTAATAAATGGCAAAAAATGATATTGTTTGCACATTCTCAATACCGATCAACGAATTTCTCTGATTCAAAAAAAGAAAGTCATTAATTAATTCATCAGATTTTCAGTTGCATTTAAAATACATACTAAGTTCAAACAATGGATAATATTATTTGCAAGCTTTGATTGTAAAATGTTCCTCTTACTCTTATTTAGATGAAGAAATGTTAGGTTAATATCTTATGTCTGCTATGTAACTTACACTTATCGGTAAAATTAAAACAATAACACTTAATTGTTTTATATTTATCATTGTTTTTACTACAGGTATCACTGATCAAGATGCGCATTGCAAAAAATTCATAGAAATTCTACTTCAGGATACCTTCAAAAATGTGAAAGATTTTCTTTTGTCTTAAATTTCAATATTTCTTTGTGTTTTCTCTTGAAGTTATTATATTCATATCATGTCAGCACATGAACGAATGACGTACTATTAAGCATATTCAGTATGATTGAATTATCAACCGATCTAATTGCAGCTCATCTTTGGGTGTGGGTGTGGATAGTATTTATTTCTTAATGTGACCCTCACCCACACCCACACTCAAGAAAAATTAACTTGATTCGCCGAAATTTTCTGGAGTTGGTCATTTAAGTGTAAACATAGAATCCAACTATGGTTTTATGGAAGCTCACGTGAAAACAGTTTTCCGTATCTAAACGAAACACGCACATACCTTCATCACATCCTCAAGATTTGAGATTCTCGATCCCGATTACCCTTGGATCAACCCTTATAAAAAAATTCCTTTTATATTTTTATCTAATTTTTGAACCAATTAGTGAAGTGTAGACACATAAGCATGCAAGCAAACAATTTATTCTTCCAAGACTCTTCTCTGCGAGAAAGAGAATATGTATATAGAAGTGGATGATTAACTGACTTCATTTCTCACTTTATTTTTATACATATACTCTTTGAGTACATCAAACATAATATAATTATTTTATCATAGTCATATTTTTTTTTATATAATGGAGATGGTGATCTGTATGGGATAAACGGATCTACGTATTATCTGAAATCAAAATAGTCAAATAATTTCACAAAACTTTGTTTTCATTTATATTAGCCTGTTTATCTTTTCTTTCTCTTGTGTCTGATTCTCATCTGAAGATC